TTCACAACAATTGTTGTGCATAGAAAATTAATAAGAAGTATAGATGGAAAAGGGAAAGTTAAAGCCAGAGAAATTTTATTATAAGTTTATAAGAAATTTTATTAATTATAAATTTCAAACGGATATTAGAAATTATTATTTATTTAATATCCGTTTGAAATTTTAAATAAGATTTAACTAGTTAGAAAAAGTGAATTTTTTAAAATGTAAAATATTCTCAAAATTCATTCCTATTTTAAATAAACAGTTGCATACATTCATACGCTTTAATTAATTTACATTACAAAAAGTTGGTTAAGGCACGTAAAGGTTTCTTTTGGGGATGAATTTTGTGGACTGATTTGCAGTGTTTATAAGAATCATGAGATTTTTTGAGCCTTTTTATGAATCAGAGGTCAGAGTTTTTTTTATTTATTTATTTATTTTGCTTCCCAAAACTATTTCTCCTTTAAACTTTACTTTTCCCAGTCCTTAATCTTTAATTTATGATATATTTATTTTAATATTTTGATGCTTCTATTACTCCCACATGCAGCCAACATTTACAAACATTTTGCAAAATATAGTTTAGCATTAAGTTTTGAAAAACTTAGAAGCAATTATATATTTTTTAGACAGCAACAAAGAACTAAAAACGATAGTATAAAAGTATTTAATACCTCTTAACGGTACAATGAATTTTTAAAAAAAATTTCAATGGGGAAACGTCAATAGAACATTCTGGTAGTAGCCTTCATTGCATTTTTTAAAAGCTTTTTATTAATAATAAATTTTTTGAAGAAAAAAAACTACCGTTACACGACCCGATCTAACCCCTGTTGTCTGCAGCCAGCACGTTTCATAAGGGTCTTCCCATTCAAAGTGCAGCTGAAGATATTATTGAAGAAAGGACCTTTAGAGATAAAAGCTCTTCTTCACACCCACGCACGCGTAGATGTCACCAACATCTGTCGCTTTAGGGAAGCATCGAAACGGGGGTCGGGATCCAGGCGAAAGTGTGGTCTTGACGGAAAATAACGCCCGCAGTTGTGTACCCTGGCTTTAAAAAACTGTCTCGATGAAAGTTTGATTATCTACGAGCTTTATGAGTTACAGACAGATGATAGTAGACTTAAGAGGCGATGAACTCATAAATGCTGGTGACTTTCATCATTTGGAAGACGAGTGTTGATTTAGTTGAGTAAAATTAGATGCGCAAACGCATAGCGTTAAGAAAGTGTGATAGTTTTTTTTTAAAAAAAAGGGAAAAAATGCAGTTTAGTTCCGATCAATCAGGAATTTGTATGAATTGGCGTTCAATCAATTAATCCATAATCTTATCAATGACCTTGAATGGATCGGAATAATGGGGTGCTTGCTTTTGACACAGGTGACCTGGATTCAAATCTCGACTGTAGCTTGTTGAATTGCAAACTGTCTCGACATTTTAGATCACAATCTTACTCACAATAACAGTGAAATCTATTACCGTCGGGTCACAATGAAAGGTTTTCGTGTTTCTCCGCTTTATATAACGCAGAAGTGTACCATATTTTCATTCAAAACATGAAACCTGTCATGTTCTTCTCAAGGGTTCTCTTGTGCTTTGAATAGGATTCAGAACTACAAATTTGGGGAATGGGATGCTTAAATAGAAGTTCTTCTTCCGATGGTTGTTTTCAATATTTTGATTTAAATAAATATACATGAACTCATGCAGTTTAAACAATAAACAATCATTTTTCTTATAAGCGAAATCAGAACTATTGCCAAACTTATACAAGAAGTGGTTAAATAGTGAAATAAATATCCTTTTATGTATACTTCTTTATAAACCAACTCTTGAGTTTGCAATCACGGAAACCTCAAGCCATTATCTTTACAATTTCTCATATATCCTATGACATACATCTCTATTCAAGTATTAAATTGAAAAAAAAACTAGCATATGAGACTGTATTAAAACGTTATTAATTTTAATTTTTATTTTTTATACGAACAAGCTAGGATGATAGAAATTTCAAATATGATTAATTTTACTTTAGAGTTGTTAGTCTGGTCATGTTTGAGATTTAAGACACACACACACACAAAAATTGAGCAGGCTGCTTGCAAATTGTAAGTATCGGATTTACCGCTAGATTTAAAAGATAACAAATTTCAATCAACTGTAGTTAATATGATTCATGTGCATTTGATTTGCCACTTACTCACTTAAAATGATCTAGTTAAAATAACTCAACTTGAATGAAATTTCACTCGTTTCTCTGGATAAAGGGAGTTTTCTCATCTAGAGATTAAATTCACTCGAGTCGAAGAGTCAACTGAAATAACTCAAGCTTGAGTACATAATTTCAAGTCGAACTTGAGTGAATGTCAATCATTTTTGATTGACCATCAGCATCACTTGAGTGAATCATTTTAACTTGAATTTGATCGAATTTCAATAATTTTTGATAGATAACCATCATTATTCGAGTTCTCCAATTTGACTCGAACTCAAGCTTGAGAGAGTTAAAGAAATACAGAAAACATGAAAAAAAAAGTAAAGAATTTTTTAAAGAAAAAAAATATTTTTTGAAAGAATTCAAAAACTTTTTTTAAAAAAAGGAAGAACAAAATAGGGAAAAGATGTAATATTTTCATCAGCTCACACGATTGCAGCCGAAAAAAAGTCTTTTCTAATATTGTATTAATGCAGCCAAAGCAAAGCAGATCAATACAATAGTGTGGGGAACACCAAGGACTGAAACGAAAATAGAACTTATTAAGCCAAAAATGTAAAATGAAGCAAAGAATCCAAAATAAAGCATTCAAGCAAAAAAAGAAAAAAAAAAAGAATGAAAATTAAAATAAATAAGAAAATACAGAATAAAACAAAAAATTTAATATATAAAGTGAAGAACGAATTCAAATGCACTTACACTTACCGGCATAGTTCAAAAATGATTTAAAATGTTTTTGTAACAAATTTTCCAGATTACAAAATAGAATATATATATATATATAAACTCCTTGACCTTGGGCTCTGGGGTGCAGGAGCAGATGCTCCGGTCAGGTGGTCAGCCGAACGCGGAGGTCATTTTAACATCGGTATTGGTTTAGGTTAGTCTGGACATTTATTTTTTGAATTCGAAGGCCTCGTGTTTTTATCTTATGAGTCATATTTATTGGCCGATATCACTAATAACTGAATTGTTATGAGCATTAAAGTAATGAAACGAAAAACTGCTTCATGATACAGATAATTCCTATTAGAGTAAGATTATGTGGCTATTCCTAGCGACTTTTTGCACAAAGTCTACGATATAGACTGAAAGAAAGAAGCCATAAAATAAATCTGGACGAATAATCGTGCTTACGGAATTAAAGTCAGGTGACATCAAAATCGTTCCGTTAACTCTTGTTGAGCTTCTCGATCATTTTGACAGCACAAAAGCCCTCATTGAAGTGCGCCATAAGCAAATGGTATTGTCATGCAAACACTTGACAGCAGGAGAAAGATGTTCAAAATACATCATTATAGTTAGGATTACAAGTCAGCTTTTTTTTAAGCTTAAACTAAAAAAATTGAGTTGACTTGTAACCGTTTTAAATATTTGAACCATTCATTTTCATCTACTTACCTTTTTCTGAAGGGAAAAAAAAGAGTATTTCTCTTTTTTTCCACCACGAATCCTTTTTTTTTCTTTTTTTCCTCCAGGCATGTATTGTACATTTATGCAAATATTGAAGGAGATTGAAGCGGGTGATAAAATGATAAATAATAAACGACAGTCATATTCTCCAACTACTACGGAATCTCCGCGGTTTCAAACATTGTTCGTAGTGGTAACAAAGACAATGCATCGACATTTTAATAAATTAGAATTAAAGAAATTTTGTCCACCTCTGCGCGTAAAAAATTTAAACACATAAATCAAAATTTAGATAGTCAAAGGAACAAATTCCCAACTTCTCAAAAACATTTTATAAAAATGCTGGTTGTTAGGGATATTTCTGCCTCAGTTGATTATCAATGGAGAAAATATATCCCCGAAACCTCAAATTTTATTTATCTTTATTAAACCTCAAATTTATCCTTATTACTATGTAAACAACGATAAAGTGAAATTTATGTATTTGGTGTTTGGCTTTTAATAGGGAGAGAACAATTATATAAAGTACCGATGATTTATAATTATGCAAATAACTAAGTAAAAATTTAAAAAAAAGCATATTTTTATGCTTATGAAGTTGAATTTGGTTTACTATGATACGCATTAGAATAAATTAAAATATTTAACTGTAAGACTTATGAAAAAAGCGCTATTTTAAATAGCTTGTTTAAAAAAGCATAATATATTAATTTTTTAGCTTCTTGAAGTTACCTTAAATTATAAGAAAATAATGATATAGTTAAAGTGTACTTTAAAAAAAAGTTAGGGAACATGGGAAAAGTTGTGGGAACATGGAGGACTTTGAGACTCGACAGATTTAACGTGCATCAGTCACCATTTACTACACGGGGAGTCTTCGGCCGGCGAGGATCGAACCCATGACCTCTTGGATATGGGCCCAGCGCTCTACCGACCAGGCTATCCCGGCCCTGATCTTCTAATTGATCTTCTTCTATTAAAACTCAGATATTGCAATGTCAGAATTTCACCCACGACAGATTAAACGTATATTTTTCCATGTAAATACGCCGATTGTTTTGTCATGATCGAACTCACTATTCCCCAGCTCTTCAACCAGCGTTGTGAGCGACGCCTTAACCAACTGCGCCACCAAAGCATCCAGCTCAAAATATCAGTGAAGGGCCATATAATACACTTAAAATTCAATTTCTAAATAACACTAGTTGAAATTCATAAGAGGTGTCAAAACCGTACAAGGATTTTCAATCGATACAATTTAATAATATTGAACTTCCTAAAAATTATTATTAATTAATTTATTAATTTATTCATTTATTTTGAAAACCCCAAAATAAAAATGAATGAAATAAAATAATAAATGGAATGTAGTTATTCACTTACCCATTAGTGACTGGTGCTGTGGTCAAGAAAGCAGGTAGTTCTGAAAGGTCTTCCTGATGGTCGTAGACCAAGGTCTCGACCATGGAGCCCTTGGAGCTTCCAAAAGATACCCTGTTAAAGGAATCTTCATTAGTGAGAACAAAAAAAAATGCATTGAAGTTTTAAAAAAATTAATGTACTACAAAGTAAAATGAAATGAAAGGATTTTATTTTCTACATGGAATACTTATAACAATAAAACAATCACTATTACATTTTGTTTTACTATATGATGTCTTTAATCACAGTATAAATTAAATAGTATAAAAATAAGTTATTTACATTTTCTGAAAAGTTCAAATTATTGAATAAGCATACAAAACGATTATTGACGACGAATTTTAACTGCCTTTCTTTATCCAGATCATATTATGCGCTTCAAGTCTCGTTCTCTCGAACCAATTTGAGATTACTTACATGGGAACATTCAGTTAAAGTAATATGAAAGAGAAATATAACGTCTAAAATAACGATATGAAGCGGTATGCTTTGAGTCTTGTCCACAGGGAGCATAAATACTGCAGGAACCATTAATATTTATATTTCAATATTCCAGAGATTTTTCAAAGTAAAATGGCAACATTGGTAGCCACGTGTTCCGACATTGGAGAACCCTCACCATTCAAATCCTCAAATTGTTTACCCAGGGGATTTCAATAAAAATCCCCCCTTCACCCATATTGGGGCGGTAAAGCTTCTTCATTAGTCCCATTCAAGAATGTCCAGATGCGGCAGCCCTGTTAAGGGATAAAAGGGAGGGCTTTAAAGAGACATTGAGGGGTGTCGAGAGAACGGGGCGCTTTAACTTTTGTTTGGGCTAAAATTAAACTGAACCCCAATTCAACGTGAGTCATATCATATCCGTGGGGGCGGGCATAATTTTTTTTTCTCCCTTAAACGTTCTTCGCTTTCTCTCGGTTTAGTAAAAGTTGTAAGCAATTCAAAACTAATAGAAATTGCATAAAATAATGATAAACAGATACAATGTTGAAAACTTAATGCGCAAGTCAATACACTGTAAGAAAAATAGTGAAGTTGGTATGAGAAATGAAATCCGTTTATTTTATAGAGAATTTCTGTTATTTAAAAATATTCTCCCATTTTTAGTACTGTTACTTTAGCAAATAAACTCTGTTATTTTAATAAAAATAATTTTATAAAATATCCATATCAGCATTGTGGTCGGTGTGGGCCGAAAGCAGCATTCGTATGACCAGTCGATGCAAGAACTCGAGGCTTGGTCACCTCATTCGGGAGGCAAGATCTCTGTCCTTTGAGCTACAGCAGCTCTAGCGTCTCGGTATGAAGAAAAATCTTATACTGTTTTTATCTCCAGAGTCTTACTTATTGAAATATTATAAGTGTAAAAATTTTTAAAACTAGAGTGGACCACCAGTGTGTAAAATATCTGGCTACTTAAATTACCCAAAAATTATATCTAAAGAAATATAATAAGAATTGCAGTTTATTAATGCGATGTTCAAATAAAAGGAAGGAAGGAAAATAATCGTAAAATGGTTTTAAAAAAAAGGTAGAGCTAATCGTACCGTAAGCAAAACTACACTGAAAAAACTGGACTAACTGAACGGACGCTTTTAATCCATCGTTTATGATTAGGATGAGAAACACAGAACAATCGTTTTGTCAAAGAAACAACTTTAAACCATCCAATATACAGAGAAAGTGTGTTAATGGAAAGGGAATTTTTCACATTACGTGGATATCGGATAAAAAACAGATTTAAAAAAAAGAATCTGTATTCTTCTTTAAATAGTTTTTCTACGAAAAATAAGTTTTCAGTTCTTGAAATTAAGTAAAAGGGCATACCAGTTAATAAACGTTTAGAAGAAATGAATAAAAAATATTTAAGCATAAATGGGCACCAACTTCGGGAGAATCATGATAATATTCCAATTTTTTCGATGCAGACACAAACATTAGAAACTTTCAACCATACTATTTTGCTTTTAATAGTAATAAAAATCTTCTAAAATCATCAAATCATTGATAATAAAAAATAATTGATTTTCCAGAGAAGTTTAGCAATCTCTAGAAAAAAACTAAAAATTAATGAAAAGTAAAAAAAAAAATTTTTTTTTTTTGTGTAGAAAAATAATAAAAAGAAGCTGCATCAGGTACAATAGTCTCTTAAGATTCTAAAAGTACCATGAACAAAACTTATTTACATTTTGTAATATCTCTTCACGTTCAGAGTAGCATTTATTGGACAAGATAAACTATCAATTACACCATACAATTAGCAATTTTTTCTCACATGTTCTTTGATTGTTTTAAAGTTAAAAACAAACGCAATATAGCAATAAATAAACTGTAAAAAAATTCTGGATCAACAAATTACTGTAAAATGTACCGGCACTCAGGGTACCGACACTTTTTACCGTGACTTTCATTTTAACGAAACATGAAACGGAACTAAAAATCAGATGAACCGTAATTTAACAGTAACAATAACCGTGAAATCACTGAATCACTCTAATTAAATAAATAATACAATAAAAATTATGGTGTAATATTTTACGATATAAGTGGATTTTACGGATGATGCCCCGTTAATTCCGATACTTTATACCGTAATTTGATCCGGAATTTTTTTCGGTCTGTTTTAATAATATTCTATACCTATTACACTAATCTATTTTTATATAATTGTAGCAAAATAATTCCTTATGCCATTATTGTAGTTTAAGTTAATTTTTATGGCTATTATAAGTTCGCTAAAGCTTTAAATAGTAGTTAAGAATATCGAAAAAATATGTCATAAGCTTTTACTTGTACTTCTTAGTGGAATAACGCATATACTAATTCATCAAGCAAAACCATTAGAATAGCGAATAAATTTTTAATGCAGAAGTATAAATCATGTCACCGGTATATCATAAGTCTTTTGCTGTCCAAAATGACATTAGAATGTGATTCTTTGATAAATGCTGCTACTAATTTATTACTAATCAGCTGAAAGCTCTATTTCAGTATCGAACAAATCATTATGAAGAACAGTTTTGAAATAATGGTTAATTAAAATTTCATGCTCAGTAAATGACAATAGTATAAGTAATACATTCCTAAGTATTGTTCTTAGAAATAATATTTGCAGAAATCAAAATGATGTGGTGATTAAGTGACTGCGAAATTACTTACCAAAAATGTAGTATATGAAAAAGGTAGTATATTTGTTATTATATAACATTTGCGAGTTAAGAAAAATGATATATTTTATGAATAGAATTTATTAAAAGTCAACTACTGTTTATACTATACACATTTTATAAATATAAATTTGCAAATTCACATCAACATTTTTCATTAGAAATGAATACATTCCGCAAGTTATAATAACTCCAGAATTAAATATTTCTTTAAAAATAATAATTATTATAATTTAACATTCTTAGACATTTCATTTGGATTCTAAACGTACTTGAAACCAATGTGGGGTTTGGTGAAGCTAACAATATTTCAAAGGAATTTAAGTTTTTCAAAAAATTGTTATTTGAGAAGGGATGACAATAATCACATACATAAGTTTACAACCTATTAACTTAAAATAAAATGAGCTTTTTCCCTGCAGTTCCAAACAATTTTAAATAATAAATATTCCTTTATGGCTTTCATAACTACTCATCTAAAGTCGAAAATATTATATTTTCGGCATAATATTTTTTATGGAATTCTTAAACTGAGTTGCTTTCGATTCTTAAACTCCTTTTTGATTTAAAATTTTAAAATAATAGATGTATGTTTAAATGTTTTCAAAAATTTCACGAAATTTTTAAAAAAAGGAAAAAGAAAACAAAAACTTAATTTCTGCAATTTTAGGAAAACAGAATTTAATTTCTGTATTTTTTTCATATTTTTCAACATATTCTTTTGTCCCCGCAAATCACATTGAAAGAATTTTCTAATAGAATAAAACTTGTTTGTGTATTCGAAGGATGAATCACAAACGGTGAGAAATCGCTCCCGGAATCACTCACACAAATCCCTCATCCCCAGAGCTTTTCCGAATAAATAATGTCCCTCGCGTGAGAAAACGAAAGAGCTCGTGGTCGTAAAAACCGAAATTCCAAAATGCTACTGATAGATTTCTATTCGTTTCTTGAACACACAGCCACTATGAAAAAGACTTACTACTGAATTCCTGAATGAAAGATAAACGAGAAGTAAGTCTTGAATCACGAATTGAACTTCGAAATGAATTCAATAGAGTTAATTTCCTAATGTTACTTCCGTAACAATAAATTCATTCCAAATGCGTTTAGAGGGAAATAAAATATAAAAAAGAAATAATCTATACGTCACATACTGTTTCTTTTTTTTCAAAAATACTTTTTTGTTCACTAAAAATACATTTAAAGAGGAAAAATCTTTAATTTGTTTTAGCTAATTACAGTGATTTTTATTTAATCTGTAGGGATTTAATTATCGACTATGTTAACCTTCATCTATCAAAAGGTACCTCTGACAGAGTTAAGTTAACATGTCTTATATACTAGAGATTTGATATTTAATATTTGTAGTGGTAGTTACGCCACAAATCTTCAATAGATCAGTGGGAATTACGTATGTAACAAAAGATTTGATAAATTTATTATTTTTAAAAGTGAAATTCTGTCATGGTTTGACATCAGTAGTGCAAAGTCTTGCCTTGAGAATTTAGGTTGCCTTGAGAATTTCTGAATTTCTAACACCCCAAATTAAAATGTCCGAAGGTGCAAAATGTATAATCTATTCTATCACTTTTAGCCTTTAAAATGATCTAAATATCGATGAAAAGTTTATCATACGGTAATAATTTGTCAACATATAATTTTTCAACGTATATTTTAGTAACGGCAATTGTGTACAGAGCAGTAAGTTATTTGTAATTTATGAAACATATTTTATCAAATGAAGCAATTTGAAAATTACTATCGTTTTTTTTTCTATACAATTCGGGTTTTAGTTTGTTTATTAGTTATTCCTAAAATTATTTGGCTTCTTAATAAGTAGATCACACAAATATTCAGTATTTTAGTGCATTGTACCATACACAACTGATACGTCATACTATT